CGCACGCGAGCCTAGGCAAGGCACAACCGGCCGCTGTTCCCCGAGAGTCAACTGGTCGCGTGACGTTATCCCAATGCGGCCAATCAGGCCACAAAAGAACGCGCAGACAATTTATTATAAGCCACTGTCCCTAGCAGACAGGGGAGTTGCGTCACACGCGGACTACGAGGACACCACACTCCGCCCCCAATGCGCGGGCTTGCCCTGAGGCGGGGACATCGGCACGCTGTAGATCAACCAACGGAAGCAGCATCCCGAGACAGCAACTCCGGGTTTTGCACACAATAAACCCTCCTCCGGGTGGATTCGAGAATTATTCCCTTCTTATTGTGTTCTTCCTTGGAGATTTCAACAGGACGTAATTCGACGGTGACACACGTCAGATGCCACTGCTACAACTCTGGCGACTACTAAGGCTGACCACTAAACACCGAGTCAGTACTCTTTAATCTTCCACTAAATGGGTTGTGGCAGCGTCACCTAGGCCTTGAGTGTTTTTTGCCGATTGTTTCACTAGCCGCTCAACAGAACACCGACTTCTATTCTGAAGTACACACTTTTTACTTTGAAGATAAATTGATGCTTTTTCCTAGTACTATTATAACCGTCTCCCTATCTTCTCCGTTTTAGGCTTCTATGATAGTTACATTCTCCTACTGGACTTCAATTCCCTCTACCCGTCCATTATTCAGGAGTTCAATCTGTGCTTCACTACAATGGATCGATCTTTTTTAACCGCCACTTCCACTGATGACGCCACACAATCGGTAAGCTAACATACCTCCTTCCTGTCTTTCCTCCCTCCTCCCATTCTCCCGCAGTTTTAGTCGTGTCCTCTGGTCTTGGATGACGTCTGATAGTTTTTTCCTGTCCCGTCATTGTATTACTTGCGGAATCTATCTCACGGGATTTTTAACTTGACAGTCTTGTCGGAAGATTGAACTATGGAAGGCTACGAGTATTGTATCCGACACTGTCCAGTCTAACCTCCCGTCTTTCTCAATGTAATCCAATTCACGCACAAATGACCAGTTCTGGTGTTATTATCTCCGTCGTGTACTCCGAAAGAACGGCCGTGTGCCATCGACCGAAATGATCGATTTCCTCTCCACGTCCTCTTTTCTATCTAGTCATATGTTTCGCATTTTTTAAATTGCAGTTTTGTTATGGCGGACCAGAAAAACGCAACACCGATTCAAATGTAGACTGTTGTACATAGTATTTGATTACTTCACGTGATGCAGATTTTTCCCTTTAATCTGACACATTAACTGAAAGCCTCCGGCTTCCGCGTTCTCTGGCCAGCGCGTCATTTTAGCATGAACTACACACTCCTTTTAAACCAAAGTACTTTCTGATTTGCAACACGAGAGTGTAGTATGCTTTTTGTCTAGCATCCCTGTAGAATTGAATTTTTTCCGCCAACTAATACGGATTCGTCTGTATCTCCTCCTAACATGTTCACTTATCTCGACTTGCGCTACTTTGGCCTCACTTGCTTCGACTGTAGTCATGCGTATTCTAACTGGCCCCACCATGAGACGCTCTTCAAGGGCTTCGATCTGCGACTGTGGATCGGATGAACCGAATCCACACCATTTTCTCGTGGTCGCCAAGATCGACGACATAGGTTAATACGGTACTCGAGTACTTTACCTAAACATAGGAGCCAGCTTTATAGTCGACCTCTCCGCTGCCTTCGGCAAGGCAGTGTTGGATACAGGGCGGCAGCACAAAAAGTGAGACACGTGATGAACAACGAGCCTATGCCGGTTCATCTGCCCTTTTCTCGTGACCTTGGATGCCCTTGCGATGTTAACACTCCGGGTGTGATGTACGTCATTCGATACGCAGTCTTCACATTTCTCTTGGCGCATGGAAACGAGTGTTCGATATGCACATAAAACTGTTAGAGTCCATTGGTGTGATCCAGTGGCTCCTCAACCTACACCAACTTTTCCGTTTGAAAGTTATAATTTGGTATGGCCCTGTGGTACGACGTCAGCTAGACTGTTTTATTTGCACAGTACATATACAGGGAGAAGTAGGACACACATTTAGACCACCATGTTTTTTACGAAAAGTACTGATTTCAATTAGGTTTGCATATAGCTGTATTTAGATAGGGGAAGGGAGGAACTCTTTGAGAAGGTATCCAGCCTTGAATGTCCAAGTAGGCAGTCTATAGATTTTGTTCGAGGACGCTATTTCGTTTTGTAACTGCCCCGGCCTTGGTATATTAGAGTAGCTAATTTCGACTCATGACCTCCGGTTGTTAGTTGCCCTTATGACAACAAGCAAAGACATATCGGAGGGGCAGTGTGTGGACAAGAGCACTTTATATACGATAGATCGGACCTACCTGAAGGTTAAATGCTCTTTATCTATTATTTGCTATGATTTGGCATGCGTTTTAAGACATTTAGTTGGTGATTCTATTTTTGATTTGGTATTCTGCATTGAACGCCTATAGGAATTTCTTTCTGCCAAGTGGAGGTTTCTGGCCAGGGCGTAATGCATGTAGTTAGAGACTGGAAACTTCTTAACAATAAACCCCACTTCCATTAAGTAGGATCAGTTTTGGTTGGCTCCAGCAGTTAGCCTTTAAATCGGTTTCGACCTTAACGCATGTACTCCTATGCAACTGTTTGCAAGGACTGCCGACTAAAACAACAAGGCCTATATTCCTTCTCGCAATGGAACCCAATCGTCGAAAACTAAGTCCACGTGACATGGTGTAATTTTCTTGAACCTTGGACGCATTTTTATTCGGTAAATGTTATCTTTGTCCTCTTCTTGATGTCATGTGCCTTGATTTGAGTCCCTCATTTGGCAAACCAAAATGTTCCCTTCCCTCTACAGGCAATGTATCTTTTTCACCGATGAAGCGTTCCTTCTTTTTAAATGAGGACCTCCAGCTATTCATGATCATCTGTCGATTCTTTCATAGAAAATGTCCTTGAGGCTCTGCAATTCCTAGGCTAATGCACTT